CAGCTCTAGGACAAATTATGCAGGAGGAGAAGCATGGCAAAGTTGAGATGACTTGGATGGAAAACGAATCACAACAGTGTGCATTGCAATGCACATAATTACATTGAAGAATGTTATTTTGTGTGTCAAGGAAACCTTTTGAGGCTAAGCATCTGACATGTATTAAGAATCAAAAGTACATTTCTGATTTAAAATGTACTTACTGTAAGTAATAAAAGTAAAAGAATTGAGTGAACTTAAGCAATTATAATTTCCAAAATAGCACTTATTGAGAGGTGACCTCCCTCAAAAAAGGCCATAATGACTATAATATTATAACGTAATTTGAAAAATAAATGAATTTATACTTCTCATCTAACCACAGTTAAATTCACTCTATCTGGGAGGCATCATATGTCTAGATAGTTTTTCAGTAACAAGCCAAAATGAAATGGAAGTAAGTACTGCTAAAAGGTAAGGAGTAGAAAGTAAAAAGTCGGTTGAAAGGAAATTAATCCAGTGAAGTATTGATAACCAAACTTTCTACTTAATTAAAATAAAGTATTTGTCAATTGTTCGTTTAAACCTCAGCTTTTATCTTTCCAAGCGCCGTCCTGAGCCCCCTGGTTACTCACACGCAGGCGTCACACAGGAGGGGATGTCACAGTACTCCCAGGAGATGGCGCTGTCAGTTACAGTGTAGCACCAGGGCCTCTTGTCCCCGTCTGGGTTTCTGTGACACAGAAACACACAGCGGAGAGCATGATGAGTTCTTCTGCTTTGGAACTGCGTTCCTCTCCTCTATATCTAGTTTTTGCTGATTTTATTAAAGTTTGACAGACTGTAATTAAATAAGAACTAATCATTTGTTTAATCTGAAACATAAAATTAAAGTTTGAACGTGTTTCTAAAATTCCCAAAATTTGATAGAAACTGTTTTTTTTCTTTGACGTCTGGGATGTTTTTGGCGACACAAAATTTGCTGCAGATACAAGTGTGTGGATGCTCGGATCCTTAAAATAGATTTTATAGGAAAAGTACGAGACAATCTTCCTGATGAGTCYGCTGGTATCGTAGCAACTGCCTTTTTATTATTCCATTTTGTTTGCAATTACGGCCCCTTTGCAGAATGCTTGGCACACACACACACCTGCAGAAAGCATGCTCCCCCAGGCCCTTGGCAGCCGGTGACACCACTAAGCCCACATGGAGCTCGTCAAAGAGCAGTTCGGAGCTCCAGGGCAGACAGCGGGCACCAGACGCCGTGGTGCCCACCACTCCTCTGTAACCTGTGCCCCTGCCGTTGTAGCACTGTGTCTCTGGCTCTGCACACACAGAAACCACAGGCAGAAGCACACAAAACCATCACAACCCTGTCGGTTGTCCACAGGAAGACCTATACATGAAGATTAATAAGTATTCTGAAGTCAWACACCGAACCACTAAGAGGTAAAATGTCACTCGTCTGATCTGTAAATCACGGCCGCAAGTGCACTGCAGCCATCATAAGATTATGTAAATCTTTTTTGTCCCGTCACTTTCAGCTTGAAACCAGCTTTGTTTTATCATGCAGCTCCTCCGTGGGAGCAGATGGCGTAAATTTGGTCGAGTCGAACTGAATCGTGTGGGCGGTACTTACGAAGGCTACATCGAGGCCCGCTGTAACCAGCTCTGCAGTAACACACTTCCTGTCCGGTGCTCATGATGAGTCGACAAGTTCCAAGATTCTGGCAGGGATTTTTGCGGCACGCTGGATAAATAAACACAGAAGAAATGTCACATCTTAAAAATAATATTTATACAATATTTATGCGTATATACAGTATGTTTTCAGCTCAAAAAGCATAAAATAAATCTGATCCTATAATGCTACCCATAATTTCATAGAGGCTTCAGGATTTTTCAGCCTTTGCGGTGTACACGCATAAATACGATAGTTAGGAATTAATTTTTGCAGTGTTGAACAAAAATTAAAAATTTTAATCCCTAATTGGGATTAAAATTTTTAATTTCTCGCAAAAATCACTAAAATGAATTTAATTAATTCATTTTAGTGATTTTTGCGAGAAATTTTTTTTTAGAAACGATGTGTATGTTTGTATNGTACAGCTCCTATTGTCTGCACATTCATTCAGACTGAATAAATACTAGAGCTGTGAAATTAATCGAGTTAACTCTGATTAATTTTAGTGCTGCATGGGCATGATTAAAAATTTTAATCGCGATTAAAATTTACAATCACTTTACTCTGGCTGAATATGTAGGTTTGTATATTGCAATGCACTCCATGTGTAACAAACTATGTTTATTTTTTTCTTTTATTGTGTTTTTCTTTTTATCTTCTTATTGCTTATTGTTTTTTATGTGTATGTTTGTATGTTGCAATGCACTCCATGTGTGACAAACTATGTTTATTTTTTTCTTTTATTGTGTTTTTCTTTTTATCTTCTTATTGCTTATTGTTTTTTATATTTATTGCTGACAAATGGGACTTCAGTATCTGTCGTTTCTCATGTTTTTATTTGGAATGATAATGGAAACTCCTTGAACTCTTGATTAATCTTATTATTACGCACAAAATTGAATTCTGACTCAAAGAGGTTTAGAGCATTTTTCAGGTGCTGTATTATATAAAACTTGTGCCATTTTCCTGTCCTGATTGCTCGGTTCATGTGAGCAGCCTCGTGTTGCTGGCRAACAAACAAAGGCTCTGGATGAGATGTGTGATGATGCCCATCTAAAGCCACAAGTTTTCAAAATCCACGCTCCCAAAAAAACGTGACCACAAGSTTTGTGTTTATGTGTATGTTCATGGAAAAATACAAAGATAAAAAACAGCATTAACATGCATTATAATAATTATTGCTGTTGCATTAACGCGATAATATTACGTTAATTTGTTAATTATTTTATATATTTTTTTGTGTCAAACATCCCTTAACAACCAGAAAGAAGAGAGAAAATTAATGAGTAAGACAAGAAAAACTTGTTTAATTTGAATTTGGTGCCATCGTAGGGTTTTCAGGGCCACCCCACAAAGCCCCACCCCATTAAAACTTTCTGGAGGCACCTCTGGTCAAACGCTCCACTGGGATGAAAACACAAAAAGGCCCACAGGGTTTGTCCTATAGTGTATACCACCACTCCTGAGTCACAGTGAGTCATACAACGTGTCTTTTATCCAAAGGTGGGGTTACTACTGTTATTATGGAGCTGTGATCAAAGACAGGGTAGGGCCAAGTCTTTCACGTAGTAAAGGAACAAAAAACATTTCTTCAAGCGAGGAGTGAAAACCTGATCTTTTTAGTTTTAGGCACGATGCCAAGAAGAGTAGAAAAGTTTTCTCTTTCTCTTGTTTTCAGTTTGTGCTGACCTAAAGCTCCGTGTGTGTTCAGGAGTTTTCAACAAGTCGGCGCGAACAATCACAGCCAGGCCGCTGTAACCTTTCATGTCGGGTGGGGGTGTCGCCCTTATCGCGTTGACAAAAGCCCGGCTGAAAAGGCGAAAAACCAGGAGGACACAGTTGACGCACGGGGCAACAAAACATGACTTACTTGTGTAGCGGACCCTTTGACACTCGGCCTCCCCGGCCACACACGTGCACTGTTCTACGTTACGGAGATGAATTCGCCCCCAAGTCGCGCCGACGTCATAGTAGCGCAGGTGTAGGGTTTCGTAGCACCTCTCTGGAAGACAACAGGTTGAAATCTGAGTGGAGATGAAAGAGATCAGGAAAGCTGATGCATGTTTTGTTCCAATTCTGCAATTTAGGTGAAACCCAGCTCCAACTGACCCCTAAGTATTTTTTATTTTATTAGCTTGTTTGGAAGCATAAAATTAAATATGATGACATTTCAATGAGGCACGTGTGACCCCTGAAACCTGGACAGGAAGAGGAGGGTAAATATAATGGATGGATATTATATTACTATATATTATATAGAGAAATATTGTTTGATTCTGAACTGACTGACAAGCTAATGGCTAGTCTGAGTGAGGCCAAGACTAAAATGGATTTCTGTTATCTTAAAACATGTCCAATCTAAAAACATTTTATAAACATTTGTATAGTTCACTTTTACAAACCTATGCATCTTTCTCAATTTAACATTGCATGATTTTTTTTCAGCTGAAACTGTAGGATATTCCTGCAATAAATGCTAATATTAGCTACTACTGAAGCTTCTCTAAATAACCACAGAAGTTTTATAAATAGTTTTCACATGAACTGCACGCAAATTTTAGGATTGCTTCAGCCAGGACTAGCTGTTAGCTCATCAATCTGGCCCGAAATAAACTATTTCTCCTAACAAATGTAGCTGAAACAGATATCTACAACAGGTAAGATATTATTTATTTATGAGGTTTTCAAAGAATCACAAAGCAACAGAGCTGAACTATTGCTCTAACATAAATGGAGCTTGCTTCTAGTGTGCTAAAATGTTCTTTATGATGCTTAGCTTGTTGCTAGCATACGATTGCTAATAAATGTCCAACATGGCACAATGGTTTTAAAAAAATGTAAAGGGTTATAGAGCAACGTTTTTCTGTTTGGAAACCCCCCAAATGAATGGAGAAACAGCATTGAAGACYTATGTCACAGAGCAAAGAGAACATCTTTATGTGTACCTAAAACAATAGCTTTTTCTCTGTTGCCTACATGACAACACAAACATCTGGTGTTGAACAAATTGAAACAAACTATACAATAGCTTACTTTGCTCGCATAACCTTCCAGTGAATTTCTCTGGACAGGAGCAGCTAAACAAGCCGGTCTGTGGTGTTGGTGTGCAGACTCCGCCGTGCTGACATGGATTCACCCTACACGGGTCACGTACCACATGGGATGTGTTGTTAAGACCTAAAGGAATGCATGAACAAAAGGAATAAAGACAGTGAGAGGAGGAGAAGGCTGCACTGTGATTTGGAACGAACGTGTGCCACCAGTTTTACTMACCATCTGATGGAACACAGAGGCGCCACTGCTTGTCCCGGTCAAAGTTACGTGTGAGAGAGCACCTGGGACAGGAAAACAAAAAGGTTCTGGCCACATGACTGAAAAACTGAACCTGTTTGRACAAAATGTACAGGATCACATGAACATCGCCGTATTTATTCATGGGGCAAAGCATTCTGGGTAAATCATGACTCTTACAAGGTTCTCTGGTGCTCGAACGATTTTAGACCATTTTGTAAACTCTCCTTTAGGATTATAGAAGAGATGTTTCATGAATATCTAAGCTATAAATCTGCTTTTTTGAGCTTGTTGAATTTACACAATTCCAGTGGCGTTTTCATAGCAACCTCAGCGTTTTCTCAGTTGACCTGTGACCTGGAACATTTAGGCTCTTCTAGAACTTGTAACTACAAAATGGTCTATTTTGGACGTTCAGCTCTTTTAAAGAAAACCAAAGTGCAATGACAGAGAGGAGAATGAGAAACTGATATATCAATCCACCCCCTCTCACTGTGACTGCTAGATATGGGCACCAGTGACCCCCATGACCCCTAAAAGAAGAAACTGATATACATGGAGCTAATTCATACAATGAGATTTGTCGTTAGCTCCCAAGCTAAACTATATTAGCTTCAGCTTGGGAGCTATCGACACACACACACACGTATATACGATAGATAGATAGATAGATAGATAGATAGATAGATAGATAGATAGATAGATAGATAGATAGATAGAT